GGGAGGATGCGGTAGGTGTGGACGTGGCGCTGGAACCTGGGAGAGAGCAGGTGAGGGTCCCCCGTGGCACTGCCCTTGGCACTGCAGGCCTGTGGCAGCGCTGAGGGCCCAGCTCTGAGGCAAACCCCCCGTCCCCTCTGCAGAGGGGAAATAAAAGCCTCACCCTCGGCTCGGGGTGTGTGCCCCTTGCAGGGAGGATGTGCAGTGTCCCCCTGCCCCCAAACAGACATGGCACGGCCAGGACTCCACCAGCAGTCCCTGGGGCAACCCCAGCCCCATAGTTCCACGTGGCACTGAGGACTTTGGGCACACCAGAGCCCATCACTGAGCTCCCCATGACTGTGCAGCCTGGCTGTGCTCGCCCTGAGGCCACTGCACATCCCTGCCCGTGCCACCATCCTGTGCCACCATCCTGTGCCATGGGGCATCAGCCTGGACTCTGACTTGGGTCCTGCACCCCCCGGGGTCCCTCAGCACCACGTGTTTGGAATTTTCCCACCCATGGTGTAGGAAGGGTGGGCATCCTGCCAAAGCCACAGACACACACGCGTGGCTCGTAGGCAGGAAGGGGGCAGAGCTGGAAGGCTGCAGGCAGGAAGGGTGCAGGGCAGGAAAGGTGCAGGCAGGAGGAGGGGTGCAGGCAGCAGGAAGGGTGCAGACAGGCCCAGCAGGCAGCTCTCAGGGGCTGTACCCCAATTCCAGGTTCAGGGGTGGCGAGAGGCCCCGTGCTGGGGATGCAGCCCCAAAGTCCCGGCACTGGAGTTGCTCACAGTGGGCATCGTGGGCTGGGTGTGTGCTCACCCCACTGGGGGTCTGGCAGTGCCTGGAGCGGGGAGAGGGACAGAGGGATGCCAGCAAGGGGCAGGAGAGAATCCAGGAGCAGGGACTCACAGGAGGCACAGGGCATACGCCCCCGCGACAGACTCGCTGTCCCGCACCAGGAAGGAGCCGTCGCGCCCGGCCCTGGCCAGCAGCTCCTCGGCCACCACCCTGCTGATGTCCCGGTGGTACCAGCTGGCTGCTGCCATCCTGCTGTGCCCTGTCCCTGTCCCAGCCCCGCATCCAGCTCAGCAGGGCCTGCTGGCCGTCTGCTGGCCCACGGGGGCTGCTGAGGGGGGTGGTGTGGGGGTCCCCTGGTCCCCGAGCGCGGTGCTGGCCGCAGGTCCCAGCGGGTGAGGGGCAGCCCCTGGGGGGAAGCTCATGGGGACAGGGTGCCCCACGGCCAGGCAGCGTGGCAGGAGCAGGTTGGCAGCTGGTGGAGGCTGGGGGTCTGGATAATCCTCATGGTGAAGGCTCCAGCCTGCAGGGAGCACAGGGCAGGTCAGTGAGAGGAGCAGTCCCGTGGGGGGAGCAGGATGGGGCCACCATCCTGCCCTGGTGCATGGCGAGGACAGGCAGTGCTGGTGCCCCAGGGGCACACAGGGGTCTGATCCCACCCGACACACTCACCGTCCCTCTCAGACGCCGTGGGGGCTCCTGGGGCTCCTGCAGGGTGCTGTGGGCAATAAGCTGAGCTTTTCGGGTGCAGCCAAGGAGCAGCAGAGCCACAATGCTGCACTGGCCTCTCCGGGCTCCCTCTGGTGAGTCACAGCAGCTCCCTGCCCGTCACACTGCCCACTGGGGTGGCATCACGGGGCCAGTGCCCACACTGATGGCCCCAGTCCCACTGGCCGGGCCCACCCGCCCGGTGCCCCGTGTCTCTCGCTCTGTGACTGAGCTCTTCCTCCTTCTCTTCCTCCTCCTCGCCCCTCCTCCTGCCCCAGCTCTGCTACCAGGGGAAGCCACGGCCCTGCAGGCTGAGCATGGCAGGGGCAGCAGGACCACTCCTGGAGTGCCCCCAGCCCGCTCCTGCTGTGCTTTCTCCTCGGGGATGATGGATGGGGCAGAGCCACATCCCTCAGGCAGGACCCTGGGAGAAGGGACCGCCAGCAGTGTAGGACAGCAGGAGGCCCCTGAAATGTGTTTGGGCTGGTGGGCTGGTGGTCATGTGGGCAGGGACCGAGATGCCCCTGTGTGGAGATGGAGCTGCTGCAGGCACCAGGCGCCCACGATGGCACTCGTGTCACTCCAGCTGCAGGCAGGAAGGAGTTGGGGTTCTGGGACTCCTGGGAAGGGGCCGGGAAGGAGAGGATTTGCCAGTGGGACAGGGCTGCAGATGGCACCAGGGCTCCCACAGCTCCTGGTGCAGCCGCACCTCGTGGCCAGGAGCGAGCAGCCACGCATGCAGCGGATTGAGCTGCGCAGGGTGATTAGCACCAATTAATTACAGATGAGCAGCAGCCACCGTCTGCTGCCCGAGTGCCTGGCAGCACCACGGCTGCTGGGGGGGGAGAGGGGGCAGCGGGTTCCTGCTGGAGGAGGATAAGGATGAGAATAGAGTGCTGTGCTGAGCCACTCTCCTGGCCATCCGCCACCCTCAGCATCCCAAACTGATCCTGCAACCACGAGCCAGCGCAAAGGGACTGTCACCCACCACCTCCCGCCCCAGCCACCAGTGCAGACGTGCCAAAAGCCCCTGTGAGGCTTCCTCCTGGATCCCCAGCCTCGAGAGGAACCTGTGGCCAGGCCACCAAGCAGTTGGGCCACCCTCTTGATGTTGGGTTGGCAGCTCTGGGCCACGTGGCGACGGGTGCATCTCTCGCCAAGCACCTGCCTTGGGGACACACAGTGGGGGTGGGCTTGTGCAGGGACAGTGGTTGGAGCCCCCCATCCTGCTGGACACCCCCCTCCTGCCCGAGGCCCCGTCCCTCCAGTGCTGCTCCCCCTGTTACTTAACAGCGCATCAGTAATTCCCGCAGCGCAGAGATGCCTGTGCTCACTAATGCCATCCACGCCTCTAATCCGGATCAGGGGAGGAAGCCCTGCAGCTCTGAGGGGCTTTGGGAATCAGCAATGCCTGCTGTGAGTGTTTATGTAAGGTGGCTGCCGTGCACAGTGCCAGGGGCCCCGCCGCCTGGGCAGCTCTGCCAGCACCTGGGCACAGGTGTGGTTGGGAAGGCGAGATGGGATCGGTGGTGCCGGATTCCTGGGAGGCTGCACAGGAGGGCAGACCCTACGGACACAGGGGGCTTCCCTGGTGGGGCAGGACATTCCAGAGCACTGTCCATCAGGAGGCCGCCACGTGTGTCACCAGCCCCACGTCCCTGGTGTCGAGCCCCGTTGGAAGTGGCTGAGCTGTGCCTCACGCAGCACGTGGACCTGCAGGGATGGTGGGATGAGGCAGATGAGAGGAACCTTTGGCCATTTATTACACATGAAAAGGGAAGAAGGCCTCTCTCATTTCCCTATTATTTATAGCACTGCTTCCTTCGCTGGCACTTGGTTTGGAGCTCAGTGACAGTGTGGGAGAGGATGTGGTCTCTGTCCACCTCACCGCTGTTTTGGGGAGGGGAAATATCTGTCCCCCAGCTTGGGGAAGGCTGAATCCATGCAGCTGGGACTAAGCTGAGCTGAAGCCATCCACCATGAGCACTGCTGCCCACCCTTGCCATGCTGGACAGACCCCCCAGCCGCAGCCCTGGAGAGCAACACTGGGCACAGGGCCCTCACTAGGAGTGTAACAGGGAGCCACAAACACAGAGTTCAGGATTAGGTGCCCCAGGGCACGGCTGGGCAGAGGGTGTCCAGGTGGGGCTGCCTTCTCCTCCTTCTCTTTCACCCTACGGCGTGAAGGTCACAGTTCATGTGACCCCCTGACTGTGGCAGAAATAGCACCTGTTAATCTGCACCCTAAGCAGCTCTCCTGTGTGCAATTAGAGATCACAAGTCCCAGCCCCAGGGAACGTGTGCTGGCAGATAAAGCCCTGGCAGGAGGGTTGCCGTGCCGTGGTGGCTCCTGGCTGCTCTCAGTGGCTCCTGGTGGCCCAAAGGGCTCGGGACACAGGTGGGCTGTGTTAGGGAGGAGTTGGTGCCCAGGTGATGAAGGTTGTGGAGCTGACCCAGGGTGCTGGGAGGAGGTTGCTGGCAGCTCTGGGATGGAGGTACCATAGCAGTGAGCAGGGACATCCTGATCTCAGTGCTCAGCTCTGGAGGCTGAGCCAGAACCAAGTGCATCCCCGAAGCATCTGGGTGAGCAAGGAAGGGCTTGAGGGATGCTGGAGGAGAGGAGGATGGGTGGGGCCTTGCTGGAGCAGTTTGCAGCTGCCCCAGGCTGTCCTTGGGATCTGTGGCCCATCCCAAGAGCAAGCCCGGGGCAGCATCCTGCAGCCATCCCCGTGGGAAGGGGATCCCACACTCCAGGGTGGCTGTGGGAATGCTGCTGTCCTGGCAGCCATAAGGCACAGCCACTCTGTGCTTTGCAGACCTCGAATTAATGAGGTGTTGATTGGGTCAGGCAAGGCCAGCCTGTGGTTATGAAATGACCAGGGCTGAGCAGGTCATGCTGGGGGACAAGTGGTAGGTCTGTGTTGCACCACCCAAGGGTGGCTGGTCCTTCCCTGGTGATTCAGGGAGGGGGAATCCTGCCAAGGCCTTCACCCCAACATCTTGTACCCCATGGCAAGGGTGTCCCATGTGCCTTGGACCTAGGTGACCAAGCCCATGGGCACGTTGGTCATGCAGGAAGCTGTTTGTGCCTCCATCCAGGAAGATCTGTAAGGGAGGGAGAACATGGGGAAAGTCCCTCACTCCCCTCTACCATCTCCATCCACCTCCATGCCCAGAGCTGGCCCAGCTCCACTCGCCATGGGAGCAGCTGCAGAGAGCCCCTGTGGGAATCTGCACCCCTTCTCACCAGGAGCAGAGCTTCCACCTCAATTACCATCACCTTGCTCCTAAGCCCCTTGCCAATCCCCATAAGCTGCTTTCCCAGGGCTCCAGCAGCAGGGGTATTTTTAGCCCACTCTTACTCACGAAGCGTCTCCCCAGTTAATCAATTAATAGGATTCTTCCCCAAAGTCCCTCTCCCACACTCACACACAGACACACACCCCCTGCATCCCCAGCCCAGGCTGAGTGGGCGAGATCAGATGCCAGGGGAGGGACAGCCAGGGGAGATATAAGAAGCTGCAGGACTGGGAGCAGCCCGTAGTGACTGGGTGGCACTGGGACGTGCTGGCAGAGGAAGAGGAGAGTGTCTGTCTGTCCATCCACCTGCCAGGTGAGTGCTGCCTGCTCTGCTGCCCAGGCCTCTGAGTTCTGGAAAACACTCGGGGCAGGGATATTGGTGCCAGCCTGGGGCTGGAAGGAGGGTGGTTTGGGGCTGAAATGGGAAAAAAGAACAGGATTTCAGCGTGGCCAAGGCAGAGGGCGTGGATTGGGGGGTGTAGTAGTGGCGTGCAAGAACTTAACCAAACCAGGAGGGGTTTGAATCCCTTCTCTGGGGCCTGGGAGGCACAGAGGAGGAGCTCAGCTCTCCTCTCCCCCACCTTTCATTGCTTCATCTCCAGTTCCTGGGGTCTGGAGGGGTCTGAGCTCTCTGCTCCAGCTCCCTTCACACCTTCTCCTGCTGCTGCCCAAGAAACCCTGCAGGTGAGGATTCCTGAGCTTCCCATCCCACAGCACTCAGGGGCATCAAAGATCCTGAGCTTGGGACTGCTCCCTTGTCTTCCTGTGGGAAAGAAGATCATCTCCTCCCACCATCAATCCCTCCTCTCTCGCCAGCATCCCTGTGCTTATCTACAGGAGCAACTCTGTCCACGTGCCCCTGGGACTTAACAGCCTGCCAGGGCTTAAGCTCTGCTCATGCCAGAGCTGCCTAACTTTAAGAAGCTGAGCTCATCCCACCCATTATCCTGGTGAATTGGCTGGTGATCTGGGTGATATTTACGGATTCATCCTGGACACCAGGCAGGAGAGAGCAGGACACAGGGAGCAGCTGGGCAGGGCTGGGCAGCCCCTGCCACACTCCTGGCATGAAGGGATGGGGATGGAGGGACCTTGTGCCTCGACACCCCTCTTTCCACAGGGCAATTAAGCTTCCCTTGACCTCTCTCCCTGTGGTTTCCCCATTTTCCTGTGAGTGACAGGACAAAAAGAGCCCATTCCTGCTGTTAAGCCATGGCAGCCAATTTCCTGCAGACAGGAAAAATCCATAACGTTGAAACTCTGCAAGGCCTTTTGTTCATTTTCTCACCTTTCCCAGCCTTGAACCTGCTCCACTGGAAGTCACCCCTGTGCCTCCTATTTTAAAGGAATCACAGAATTCTTTGGGTTGGAAGGGACCATAAGGACCTTCTCACTCCACCTCCCACTAGCCCTTGTTGCTCCAAACCCCATCCAGCCTGGCCTTTGACTCTTCCAGGGATGGGGCAGCCACAGCTTCTCTCAGCAATTTGTTCCAGTGCCTCACCACTCTCCCAGAAAAGTATATTTTCCTAAATCTAATATAAATCTACTCTCTTTCCCTTTGATCTCTGGGACATCACTCTCCCTTTTTCTCCTCTCCACCACCTTTTTGGCCAGGGACAAGGGGCTGGCTTGGCCCTGCCAGTCTCCAGCTGCTCCCCTGCGCTGCCCCAAAACTGGGCAGCCCCAGCTGAACCCAGAGCTCCCGAGCTCTGCAGAGGGGACAGGCCCAGCAGTGCCATGTCCTGCAGTTTTTTGGGGTGTGGAGGATGTGTCCTGCTGGGGGCAGTGGCTGGGGGCTGCCCCTTCCCCACCACCTCACCCAGACCTCCCCTCACCTTTCCCCACAGATCCCCCTGCGCCGCTGCTGACTGAAAATGGCAGAAGCAAAGTAAGTGTTTTTAGTTATTTATTTGTGATTGGGGTGGAGCAGGGCCCTGCAGGGCAGCAGCAAAGGGAGAAAGAGTCCTCCTGCTGCCCCCACCCCCTGCTCCTGAGGGCTGGAATGTGAAATCACAGCAGGGACCCTCATGATGGAGCCAACAGAGCCCCTTCTCTCTGTAATTCATGTTGGTTCTTCTCACTGGCCCTTAAGACACAGCGAATTCACCCCCCCCTCCGTGATCACCCTGAGCTCAGGGGCACAGCATGCCCTGGATGGGGGTTTGGCTCTGAATTCGCTGAATTCCCAGAGGACAGGACACCCAGGCAGGCTCTGGTGAAGCTCTTGGTGGTGCAGCACTTTACAGGGAAACTCCATCTCCCTGCCCTGGCTGTGCCCCATCCAGCCTTGTCCAAGGCATTCCCAAATATCTGTCTCTTTTTTCCGCAGGGTGTTCAAGAAGACCAGCCCCAACACCAAGGTGAGTCCAGGGCCTGTCCCCAGGTGTGGTCAGCCCAGGTGCAGCCTGTCCTGGGATTCTCCAGGGTGAATCTGCCCATGGGACCCAGGCTGGGTCTCCCTTCCCTTTGAGATCTGATTGATTCCTGCCAGACCTGCCAGGATGCCACTGCAAGACTCATTTTTCAAAATAAAAATTAAACCCCACACTGATATGACCCCTTAACTGCGATGTCTGGTCCAGCACGGTATTGAGTCCCATGACACAACTCAGCACTACAGAATTTGGGCCCATGGCAAATACTGACCTGCTTCCTTCTCCCCTCCAGCTTTCCATCTATCTGGGGAAGAGAGACTTTGTGGATAACGTGGACTCAGTGGAATCTGTAGGTGAGTAGGTCTGTGCCCACCCCGGAGGTGGAAGCACAGGCAGGGAGAGGCCAGGAACACTGGTCCCTATGCTGGGAGTCTGCTTATCTCTGCCTTCCACTGGAGCAGAAGGAGCAAATGTCCTGTTTTCCTGCAAATGCCCTTAAGAAAAATGGTGGGGAAAGGGACAAAGTGCCTTTGTGAAGCAACCCAGCCACACTGCTGGGGGAGATGCTGCGGGAGGCATCCCCGTCCCCTGACCAGCAGCTCCCCTTGGCCGCCTTCCAGCTGAAAAGTGGATTATTTGAGCTTCAAAAGGTGTGTTTTAGGAAGAATCTTCCCCGTGTGGGTGAGCTCACTGTTCCTCCTCTGCTTGTTTGCAGATGGTGTCTGCCTGATCGACCCGGAGTACCTGAAGGACAGGAAAGGTATGGATGCAGAAACCACGGGGAATGAGGGGAGGGGATGGAAACCAGCTCTGAGCTCCCCCATGACCCGGGGCTGTGCTCAGGTGGAAGCTGCAGTGTGCTGTCCACAGCTCACGTTCGGCAAGGCCGCTCAGCTCACAGACGTGACGAGCCCTGCCCGGTTTATATTTAGTGCCCCAGGTCCAGCTCCACTTTCTGCTGAAGGATTGTTAAAATAGGTTTCCTCTCTTTCCTGTCTACCCAACCCCTCCTGGCCGTGTCTCCCTCCATCCCACCCTTCCCTGGCCCCTCTCAGTGTATGTGACCCTGACCTGCGCCTTCCGCTACGGCCGCGACGACCTGGACGTGATCGGGCTGACCTTCAGGAAGGACATTTACGTCCAGACCGTCCAGATCTTCCCACCCGTGCCGGACCAGGCCCCCAAAACCCTCACTCCCCTGCAGGACAAGCTGCTGAAGAAGCTCGGGGAGAATGCCTACCCCTTCACCTTTGAGGTAGGGGCTGCCCAGCCCTTCCTGGCCGTGCTCCCCCGTGGAGTGCGCTGGGATTTATTTCTGGGCGTGTTCTTTATTTCCTTTTCTCTTTCTTTCCCTGTTCTGTCCAGATTGCCACCAACCTGCCCTGCTCCATCAGCCTCCAGCCCGGGCCAGATGATGAGGGAAAGGTGAGCTGCTGTCCCCAACCCGTGTCCCCTGGACCTCTCCTCCCCGGCAGGGGTTTAAATTGTGGGGTGCTAAAAATGAGAGTTGATTCCCTTTATGGGGACGTCGCCCATGGGGTGAGGGGTGGGGAGGAAGGATGGCTGGAGTCAGCACCAGGATCTCCAGGGAAAGGAACCCAAACCCTGGGCATCTCCAAGCCCCTCCTGCTCAGTGACCACCCGTGTTCCCCCAGGCCTGCGGTGTGGACTTCGAGGTGAAAGGATTTTGTGCTGAAAATCTGGAGGAGAAAATTCACAAGAGGTATTTTCAAGGGATCCCTTTCCTGCCCCATGGCCCTAAAACTGAGCCACGGGACCTTTTCTGGGGTGACCAGCTTAGAGCTCAAGCCAGGGGCCCGCTGTCAGTTTGTGTCATGTTTGGGTGGGGTGTTCTGCCCGAAATAGGGGCAGTGGTCCCACGTCACGTCCTAAGAGCGGGTTGCAACGTGTACCCTTTGGCCGGAGACCCTGGGATGTTCCCTGGGAGAGTCCCTGTGACCCCTGGGAGGTGGTGTGGACGTGCCCCTGGTGTGGCACTGGGGGTGAGCCCTGCCCTCCCGCAGGAACTCCGCGCGCCTCATCATCCGCAAGGTGCAGTTCGCCCCGGTCAGCACGGGGCCGGCCCCGAGGGCGGAGACCACCCGGCAGTTCATGATGTCAGACAAGCCTCTGCACCTCGAGGCTTCCCTGGACAAGGAGGTCAGTAGGGAGCTGTCCCCTGCTTGGTGCCGCCCCGGGGGTGGGGAGCAGGGTGCCTGGTCATGGAACCAAACCTCTTCCCGCTGCAGATCTACTACCATGGAGAGCCCATCAGCGTGACCGTCAACATCAACAACACCACCAACAAGATAGTGAAGAAAATTAAGATCTCAGGTGAGAGGGGGAACAAGGGGCTCATCCCAGCACCCAGCACATCCCGCTCCCCCTGTCAGAGATGAGGACAGTGTGTCTGTGCCTCTGCCATGCCACCAACACGGCTCCCTCTTGTCTCCCCTCAGTGGATCAGATCACAGATGTGGTCCTCTATTCCCTGGATAAATACACGAAGACTGTGTGCACCGAGGAGATAAAGTAAGGAGAAAGGAGCTGGAGGTGATGTGGCATCTCAGCCAGAAGGAGGATAAGGATGGGAGAGGGGGTATGGGTGACAGTTTTACACCAAGCAGCAAAAATATCAGGGTTAGAAGAGCAGATGCAGAGGAAGCAGAGGAGAGGGAAGGCTGTGGCCCCTGTGGCCCCAACACAAGCTGGTGGTAGCCAGGAAGGTCCCTGGGGAAGGTGCGCAGCTGCCCCCTGGCTTCTTCCTCTCCTCACTTTGCATCTCTGAGGGCAGCCACAGCCTCTGCACCCCTGAGAACGAGGAGGGATGGAGCAAAGGCTGGGGGGAGAAAAAAAAAGAAGTGGTTGTAGAGGGGAATGAAAGGAGGAAACAGGCCCTGGCAGCTGCGTGGGGAGGGCTGGCTCTGCACAGGTGACTGGGGTGATGCAGAGCACCCACCAGGCTGGTGCTGGCTCTGAGCCCTCCTCTCCCACTCCTCCCAGTGAGACTGTGGCAGCCAACTCCACCTTCTCCAAAACCTACTCCGTGACCCCCCTGCTCTCGACCAACCGCCACAAGCGAGGCCTCGCTCTCGATGGGAAGCTCAAGCACGAGGACACCAACTTGGCCTCCACCACCATGTGAGAGCTGGCTGGGCTGCCCCTGCTCCCCACTCCTACAGCTTTCCACTGCTCAAGGGGGGTGTGGATGGGTCCTGTGGGCAGCACTGCCCCCTCACTGCTCCTCTCTGCCTTCCCCCTAGCCTGAGACCCGGCATGGACAAGGAGGTGCTGGGCATCCTGGTGTCCTACAAAGTGAAGGTCAACCTGATGGTGTCCCGAGGAGGGTGAGGCTCTGTGGGCACGGGGACCAGGGACTGTCCCCTGGGGCTGTGCTGGGGGATCTTGCACCCCCAGGGAGATGGAGAGGGGACTCAGACCATGGGCCCCCTCACCCCTGCCCTGTTCCCATGATCTGTGGGGCAGTGGGATGCCCTCTTACTCCCACCCCTCTGGTCCCATCACCCCTCCTATCAATCATCCTCTGCCCTATTATAAAACAAAGTCTAACACCTCCCCTCATCTGCCTTGGCTGATTTCTGTGCCTTCTCTCCTGCTGCCACAGGATCCTGGGGGATCTCACTTCCAGGTAAGGGGGAGCTGCCCGTGGGGCCGGGCAGGGCGTGGTTCTGGGTGGGATCACTGACAGAGGTGCTTTTCCTTCCAGCGATGTCGGTGTGGAGATGCCCGTCATCCTCATGCACCCGAAGCCTGACGAGAGTAAGTGGAGTGTGGAATGCTGCTGAAACAGCAGGGGGAGGAAGAGGCAGCTCTGGTTCAGAGGGGAATCAGTGAAACAACCCTGATACAGCCTGTGCAAAGGGTCCTGCTCTGCCCTCGGCTGTGGGGTGGGCACAGCTGTGTCCTGGAGCAGGGTGGGAGCAGTTCTCCCCAAAGCCCCCTTCCCAACATCCCTCTTCCCAGGAAAACACCCAGGCATTAATTAATTATTTAATTCATTCATTCATTAAGGAGAGCTGTTAGTTGGACTGTCCTTCCTGTACTAACCTGCACATCTCTCTCTCCCCATCCCTTTCTCTCTGTGCTGTGCTTATCTCTGGACTACAGCTAAGATAAGGTAAAGAGATATTCCCTCTAACACACAGACCACACAGATCTGCCCCTGTCTGTCAGAAGCAGCTGGCAATGCTCTTCCAGCCACAAGTGCCACCACTGGACATAGTGTCCCCACGGCCTTGATCCCCACACTGAGGTCATATCCCTGTGCCCCAAAATGCTCCCTAGCACCAGGGACCTTTTCTCCTCCCACCACTTCATCTTATTCCAGCTGAAGCCACAGCTGGGGCTGCTTCCCTCTGGGAAGCCACAGCATGCCAAAACCATTCCTGGCAGCCACAGCCCTGGCTTGTAAAACCCCAAAGGTTTTGTGTCTGGTTACACCCTGCAATGGGACATGAGCACTGGGATTTGGGACCTGGAAACCCAGGCTCCAACTGCTGGCTGTCACACCAACTCCTTTCACACTATCCCTTTCCCAGCTCAGCAAGGATATTTAAACTTCCAGAGGAGCAAATCTCTTGGCCTGTCCCCACCAGGGCTTCCTGTAGGCTTTGCCAAGTCATTTCACATGCACAAGCTTTTGGAATCACTTTTGCTGACTCTTTTTTTCTGTTTTCTTCCCCCCCCTTTTCACTTTGTGGCTCTCCCTTGCTGCCACCTGCCGCTCACCTTTCTCAAGGAAGTAGCTCAGCTCTTTGTTGCCACTTTAATTTATTTTCCTTCCCTTCTTTTTGACTTGGCAACGCAAAATAATGTCTTGAAAAACAGCAGAAGCTGCAGGCCCAGCTCCTTGGGCCTCACAGGCTCACAGTGGAGCCAGTGATGTGGCCTGTGTCTGTGTGCTGGGTTCAGGCTCACAGTGAGCTGAGTGTGTGCCCTGTGGGGTGATGAGGCCAAGGTGACCACCGTGTTGTCCCCAGGAGGAGCAGGGGGCCAGCAGGCATTTCCCCTCCTCTCTCTGGTGCATCCTGTGTTCTCACCATGCTCTGCTCTCCCTTCCAGTGCGGAGGACATTGTCATCGAGGAATTCGCTCGCCAGAAGCTCAAGGGAGAGAAGGATGATGAAGATGAGAAGGAGGAAGCTGAGAAGGAGGGTTAAGATGCTGGTCCCACACGGCCTGGTTTGGGATGTAGCTGCCTGTAGCGTTCCCCGCTGTGCCCACACGGTGCAGCCCCTCAGCCCCTCACAGCCCCCATAGGTGCCCCCCTCCCCGGGCTCCTGGCACCCCCTCCAAGCCCTGGTAGCCGTGGCAGGAGTCTCTGCTCCTCATCCCGGGGCTGCCGTGCAGGAAAGCCCCCCGGTGCTCCCTGTTCCCGTGGTGCCAGCGAGGGGAAAGGGACAGGGTGGGTGTGGCGGCCCCGGCAGAGCACATCACCCACACATCTGTCACCCGCCCAGCTGTGCCCAGCTCTGTGACACTGATCTCAATAAACCTGCCCGGTGCCCAGCGCAGGCTCCGTGTCGTGCTGGGGGGGCGTGGGGACCACCCAGGGCTGGGGGGGAGCCTGAGCCTTTGGGGCAGGGGCTGGGGGAGGTTGAGGCACTGCAGGACCCAGGGGAGCTGTTCCTGCCCAGGTCCCCAGTACAAGGTACAAGCCAGGCCCATCTCTGGTACAGCCCAGGGGCATCTGTGGTACCACCGAGATCATCCCAGTACAGTCTGGGTGCCCTCCCCAACACAGCCAGGCCCATTTGCAGTGCAGCTGGGCTGCCTCCAGTACAACCCTCCCCAGTACAGCTGGGCTGCCTCCAGTACAACCCTCCCAGTGCAGCTGGGTTCCCTCCAGTACAACCCTCCCAGTACGGCTGGGCTCCCTCCAGTTCAACCCTCCCAGTACAGCTGGGCTTCCTCCAGTACAACCCTCCCAGTACAGCTGGGCTTCCTCCAGTACAACTCAGTACGGCTGGGCTCCTTCCAGTACAATCACCCCAGTACAGCTGGGCTCCCTCCAGTACAACCCTCCCAGTACAGCTGGACTGCCTCCAGTACAACCCTCCCAGTACAGTTGGGCTCCCTCCAGTACAACCCTCCCAGCACAGCTGGGCTGCCTCCAGTACAACCCTCCCAGTACAGCTGGACTGCCTCCAGTACAACCATCCCGGTACAGCCGGGCCCAGCCCGGTCCAGGCCGCAGCGTCCCCATCCCGGAGGCCGCCCCGTCGCCATGGCAACCTCCCCAACACCACGGCAACCGCCCTGCCCGTCTCCCGGGTAACCGCCCTGCCCGTTGCCCGGGTAACGGCCCGCCCCCCGTTGCCATGGCGACGCCCCTCCCCGGGGCGGGGCGGGGGTGACGCGGCGGAGGTGACGCGGCGGGGCGGTGGCACCGGAGCGCCCGGCGCTGTCTCCTTGTCCCCATCACGGCTCCCGCTCGGCCCCCCCGCGCCGCCATGTCCGCGCCCGGCAGCGGCGGCGACTTCGGCAACCCGCTCAGGAAGTTCAAGCTCGTGTTCCTGGGCGAGCAGAGCGGTGAGCGCGGCCGGGGCCGGCGGGGCCAGGCCGGGGGCAGCGCCCGGGGCCGGCGGGCGGGGCCGGGGGGCGCGCTGGGGCCGCGGGGTGCGGGGCCGGGGGATGCGGGGCTGGGGGATGCGAGGCAGAAGGATGGGGGGCTGAGGGATGGGGGGCTGAGGGATGTGGCACCGGGGGATGTGAGGCCGGGCCGCCCCTCCCTGTGCCCAGCGGCTCGGCCTGAGGCCTCGGCGGGCGGGGGCGCGGGGCTCGGTTTGCTCCCGCCGGGGCCCTCCCGGTGCCCAGGGCCCCGTTCCCCCCACACCGGGTCCCCGTTCCCCCCACACCGGGTCCCCGTTCCCCCACACCGGGTCCTCATTCCCACCCCGCCGGGCCGGTCCGCAGTGCGCCCGCAGCCCTGTTGCGGGAGCGGCCCGAGGGATGCGGGGGCTCCCGGGCGGTGCTCGGCCCTGCTCTGCCTCCCTTCCAGCCTCGGGGGTTTTTGTTTTCTCTCCAGCTGACTCCCTTTTGTGTCCCATCCCGCATAATTTGTGGATGAGTGGTGTGTTTTCCTTGGAATGGTGGTGGTCTTTGCTGGGAGTGTCCAAGGCCAGGCTGGACGGGGCTTGGAGCAGCCTGGTCCAGTGGAAGGTGTCCCTGCCCATGGCAGGGGGTGGGACTGCGTGAGCTTTGAGTTATCTTCCAACCCAAACCATCCTGGGATTTGTATTGCTCCAGCCCAGAACTGTAGCTCTTGCAGGAATTTCCAGAAGTTCTCCAATTCCCCTGCCTTTCCAAGGCAGGATTGATATTGCTGCTGGTAGACATTTGTCTCACCCGCTTTTAACCCTGTCCAATGTTCATAATTTCACAACCTTTTTTAGGCAGTTAATTCCTTTTCGCTTTTCCATCCACATCCTTTGAATTTTTCTTGGCTTCCTGAGCGAGAACTGGAGATCTACTCCTTGTTTCCTGTTCCGTATCAGTTCTGCACTTTGTGTCCTGATAAAATGTGGAGGTGCAAATTTAAAGTTTTGAAGCAAGCCACCGGAGTTTGCTCTGTTATCTAAAATCTCATTATGAAGGAAGAAAGGATGCAAGTCTTGGATGTTACTTTTCCGTGCAGTCAAAGGCAGCAGAACTGGGATGTCACCTGGTTTGTTTTGATGTTTGTGTCCCAGACTTGGGGATTACATAAGTGGCAGAGCACGAGGAACAAAGCAGATTTGTGGGTTGCTTAAAGCAGACAACCAGTTCTTTGTTATCCACATGGCAACACACCTGATTGGAGGACCAGGCCATCACCATGATTAATTTTTGACCTACAGAGATTGATTTGCCTCTGTCATTTTGGGAATGGTTTTCCTGGCTGGTTATTTCCCAGGAAGGTGTAGCTGGAATGGCCTGAGATTGGCAGCTGCTTTCAGATCAGTGCCACTCCCAAAGCAGTGCTTATTTTTTTTTTTTTTCCACTGCTGCTTGAAAGTAATTTTTCTCTTCTCTTATAGTTGGGAAGACCTCCCTGATCACCAGGTTTATGTATGACAGTTTTGACAATACTTACCAGGTATGTGGTAGGATTTTATCTTAATTTTTTAAAAAATATTTATGGTTAAATGTATTCCCTGCTGTTAAGATTTGTGCCTGTGAGGGCCAAGCACACTGATCCATGAGTTGTCAGTTAAATATCATATAAAAGGTTAAAATGTGCTGTGAAATGGAGATGAGGCTTCATGATTAAACCAAAGCATCCAGGATGATGTCAGGAAACCCAGTGTACAAAAAGGCAGCAGGGTTTAGATCCTCTCTGGGTATGTGATAGATCCTGTTTGGATATGTGAGAAGCCTGGAGGAAAATGGGGGGAAACACTGATTTATGGGTCTGGCTGATGGAGAGGATGATGGTCAGGATGCCTGGTGGTGGATTTGGGAGTCTCAGGAAACAGGGGATGAACAAGATAGGAACATCTTGTGATAATTCTTGGTCTCTGGCGTCTTTAGAGCCACAATTTAAGTAGGAGTAGTTGAGTCTGGAGTGTAGAGATGGATCTGCAAGAAGTCAGCTTTGGTATATTCAGTCTCTCTTTTTTTTTTTTTTTTTAATTACTATTTTTTAACTAAAAGACTAAAGATAGGAAGAGCCAGGGAAGTCTTGGCAGGGAAAGAGGAGGGTGGGGATGGAGAGGCTGCAGAATGAAACGCAGAAGATGTGTATGAGGCCTGAAGATTTTTAGGAAGAATTAATCGCTTCAAAGGCACTTGGAATTATTTCAGGGGAATATCAAATATCTGTAAAGCAGATGAGATCAGGGATTATCTTTTAATTCAGCCAGAAGGAGTTACTGGTTTGGACTAGGGTAATTTTGAGTCGAGGGCAAGCCATTCGCTGGAACTGGATCCTCTTGTACTTCGTGTGTCTGCTTTCCTGACTTTTGTAAGGTGCTGGCAAAGATCTGTGTGCTTATTAAGATCTATTAACCTTGTCCTGGCTAGAAAATAGGCCTCCCAAAAATAAGTTCTCCCTCCCCAAATTGACTCTGGTGGTCTTTTCTGGTATTCCATGGCCCTTCTGTGCTGCCTGTGTGTGTTAAGAGTAAAGATAATCTATGTCTAAAACACTAAAATCTGCTACATCAGAGCTGTCTCCTGTTTCCTGGGGTTATGAAGGGCTGGGACAGCAGCTTGATTGAAGTGCCTGGGAGTGCATCTAACTTGGTGCACTATTTTAAATGTCTTGTTACTGGAATCGCCGTAGCAATGGGAGTGGGAATGGATGGGGACTTGCAGAAAGAACTGCCTGAGAAATGAAGCTTCTGGGTGTCACTGGAAGGGAAGCAACTTCTGACGTGGAAAGCCCTGAGTAAATGTGGCTTTTTAGCTTTGAATGGCCCGTAATTTATATATCTCATTTGTTCTGCCTTTTGGTTATTTCTAATAAGATAACTTTTAGCAGACTGAGTGGGGGTAGGCCAGAGGGAGCTGCCGGTTCAGCTGTGATCTGTGTTGAGATCCATGAATGTCTGAGGCTGAAATCCAGCCTCAGAGGGAGGTTCTTGTGTCAGGAATGCTGTGAAGTGAAGCTGGTGCAGATGCCCAGATTGCTTTGTTCTCATCACCACTGCTGAAGGCAGGTCACTTCCCCATCTTAATCACAACTTTGTGGGGGTTTTTTTGCGAGTTTGGAAGGGTGGGAGCTGCAGCTGCTGGGAGGCAGGCAGGGTGTGCAGTCACTAACGCTTCCCTTCTTTCCAGGCAACCATTGGCATTGATTTCCTGTCAAAAACGATGTATCTGGAGGACCGCACGGTAAGTGAGGCGTGGGTGGGATGGCGTGGGAGCTGCAGGGCCTGGCTCTTCCCCGGCCCTTCCTCCAGCAGCTGCTGGAATCCCCCCGAGGACCAGCCTTTGTTGAATCCCATCACTGACCCCCTCTTTGTGGTACCTGTTAAGATCTGATTCCTCCCGCAAGAAGTGAGAATCTTCCATGGAAAACTGGGAGAAGATGATGGCCGTAGCCCAGGGAAGGAATGGGCTGCCTGTTGTAGGTCCCTGGTTTAGGTGTAGTTTGCTCCCAGAATTTGCAGCTCTGCCTCTGGATTGTCAGTAGGAACAGGGCTGAGCAGAGCTCGGGTGTCACAGAACATTCTGAGCTGGAAGGGACCCACAGGGATCATCAAGTCTGACTCCTGAAGTCAATGAAAAGCCAGTGGGGGGGTTCTACAAGAGCTGGTGTTCCAAGGCTTGAAGTCATTCATGATTAGACCTTGTCCCTGCTCATAGAAAGCTCCTGTTTTAACACAGTTCTGACCCACTGTAGTAAAGCAGTTTTGGATTTAGCCTGCATGAAATTCCTTTTTGCATAGAGACCCCTCCCACCCCTCCCCTGCCTTTCAGTGTTTGTGGTTTTGTTCATGTTTTGCTGCTTTTTTTGCTGGTTTTACTGCTGCGTGAGGAGTGTGACAGTGCTGGGGGGAGGAGGGGACAGTCCTGTGTGTTGCTTTGG